TTGCCGTATAATTTCTTCAAAATACGGTATAAATTATAAGATTATCGAAATGGTAATATGAAAACAGATAAATAATCTGTATTAATTGAAATGCTGTTCTGAGGATATATAATTTCATCAGATATATTAAAAATTGTTGTTATTCATGTTGGTATTAAACACATACCTACATGCGCGTACTGTTTGTGCGCACCGTGTGGAACAGCTTTTATTTTAACCAGAGAAATTCCGCAACGCCAGGCTATAGACCTGTGACGTTATAATGCCGCCTCTCTGTTATCGTCATTGTTGCCGCCGAAGTGGCTCCGTCATTGTTCAGAAGTCCCGGGATTTTATTATTCACTCACCCGGAAACGTTACAGTGTTACTTGCTGAAGTGCGTTGGCCTCCTCGATTACGAGAGTAGACTTCAGGGGGTTCAGGGAGGAACAAGCGGGTTTTCTCTCTCTCTTTCTCTCTGTCTTTCTTTGTTGTTAGTAGACACTTTGTGCGGGAAATGGTAACATACGGCGGCTCGAGGGCTTTATTAAATCGAGATGTTAATTGGGTGCTGCGATATCGCTCCTCTCCGTTTCTCTTGCGTGACACACGCACCCCTCGTCTCGCTCTCGAGGAGCTCGGTGATTTGAGTAACCACAACTGAACTCGCGATTTTGATCAAATTTATCAATGTTAAAATTAACAATCATTACATTATTTACATTATTATTTAAGGATATATTATTTTTGTATTGCATTAATACAAAAATTTGTAACGATTGTATTTCAAAAGTTTTAAAGTTTAAAGTTTTAAAGTTTCTTCACAATTTTAACATAAATTCTGTGGAAATTTAACTGTAAAAATTTCACATGACACATTCTATATTAGAATCAATCTAAAATCAATTAAAATACAAAAAATATAATTTATATCCAATGCTACCGGTCTTTGGCATGTATAGGAACTTGACCTTCCTAAAATGTACAAAAATAAAATAGAAATAATTATGGAATTTGTAGGTGAACCGATTATTCGGATGATCGATCTTGAATTATATCAGTAGCCGACCAAGCGTTCAAGCGGATGTAGCGGAATCCTTCAAAAGGTATTATCCTTCGAAAGGTAGAAATTTTAAGTCTGTATGCTGGACTTAGCTTGCGCCGGGTCCAAATACTAATTTGGTGAGATGTATTGGATTCGGCAAACCAGATCTGGTAATTATTTGGGCCTTTTTCAAATGCCGAACAAAAACAAAAAATTAAATAATTTTTTATAAAACATGAAGAAATTATATTTTATAAAAAATATTAACATAAGTGTAAATACATACATTTTTATATTTTATTAAAAATTATATAATTTCTTATTTACGGTTCGGCACATAAAAAAGCCCAAATAATTTCCGGATTTAGACTACCAAATCTGGCATACTCGATCTGAATTTATTTATGTATATAACTTCAATTTTAATATTATATATAAATTAAATTTATATATCCAATTCGATTATTAGTTATACGATAATAAGAATCCGATAATTGTTTAGTTTTCTTCGTGTGCCAAGCAAAAAAACTTATATTATTTTTTATTGTACTAGATTCCACAAAAAATCAAGAAAATCAAGAAGATTACAAATTTCTATAGAAATAGCTAAATTGCTGATACTATAAATTGTTAAAGATTAAGCTGTAAAAAAGCCGGATTGCCATACTATTTATATTTATCCGGTTCATCATACATATACAATGATAGTATGATCACTTTGCTTTAAATTAAATAGATTAAAATTATTTTTAAAAGACATAATGTAGTTTGATCGTAACTGGATAAAACTAAATGACCATCCCTTTTCCTATCAAATTAAATTCACGTTTATCTTCATCACGGAAGTATGTTAATTCTTACGAAACGATTGAAAGATATATAATGACCGCTGGAAGTCGAATATATATAAGGATGCGTCCTCACATGTTTCAAAAACATTTGAAAAACAACATCTTGATCATTGACTGACATTGTGAGTCAGTCGTAAATTTTTAAAATTTTATCTGAGTGTGTGTGTGTGCGTGCGCGCGCGCGCGCCATTATCTGTTAATCAATCAACACGTTGCTCCAAATACTTTCTTAACATATTTCCTATGAGACATTGATTATGAGACATATGTTAATGCACCCTAAGCACTATAAACTGAACGTTATTATGTAAGCTGCACGTTCAGTAGTGGAACTTGTTAATAATTACCTGTTAGAGAACTTTATTCTATTTCTATACCAATATCGGATACATAATCCAACCCAAATCTTCAAAACGCGTTCCCTTATTAACGCCAAATTTAGGTAGCCAGATATTAAGACCGAATGTATACCCAATGACCCAGTGCCCAATTCGGTTCTGACTTTTCCGGGACATAATTTCTATCCGAAATGACCTGTCGACTTATCCAGGCGAACACATTTCACCTCGGCGCTATTGGTGAAAGTTGTAGCTAAACATGACAGTTACATTCTCCAACGCTTTGAGATTTGCAGAATTTTCTTTCGGAATTTGTATACGAACAAATATAAAAGTTCTGCGAAAAAAAAAATATATATATAGTACTATAAGAGTCGGCTTCTTGACATATTAAAAATCTTCATGTATTGCTTTTTAAAAAAAGAATTATGTTTTTAAATAGGAAAAATATAAGTTATTTTATTAGAAACGGCAAATAAATAGAAAAGTTGTATAAACGGTTGCAATTCTATATAACTTATAGAATTATACGTATAATATAACATAGTTATACCTTTCTCACATATCGTTAATATTTTCAGATGTTTAGAAAACTTTTGTGCGTGCACGCAATTCAAGTGAGCAAGAGGAATGAAAAATTACAATATGTATCGACATAAACATATTTAGGCACAAGGAAGTACTAGTGCCGATAAGTAGCAACACTCGAGAGTCCGCTCATGCGAATAACGAGAGTCATTCAGATACAGTTGAATCGAACGGCGATATTATTTCACGTATCCCGCATCTCGCAATTTCGTGAGAATGTTCTTTAGTTCTTCTTCAGTAACTGACAAAGTTTGTCCTGATTTCGTTTCGCATAAATTCTTTCGGTTTCATTTTAAAATAACTTTTTTGCATAATTATTATGGTATAGTTGCAGGATACGACATGCATACCGACTCAATCTTAAGAAGAAAATCGGATAAATCTATGTTTTTAAAATAAGCGATCCTACACAAATATCTAAATTTAAATAGATAAATAAACACGATTCAATGTGCAATTAGTTCCGTTAGAAATTAAGCATCGTAGATTTAATTCCTTGATTTAGTTCCCTTTTGTCTACGTTCTTATTTGTACAGGTAAAGTTTTTTTTATGACTGCACTAAACTGCATCGAACTGTACTAAAACTTTCTATATCTCCCGCTTTTACCAAACATTAAATATATATCTATTTCATTTGAACAGATCTTTTACAACTAAACTGTGTGTACGACAAGTATATAATAGTTCAGTTATAAAAGATCAGTCGCGTTGCTTACACTTTTTACACTTACAATTAGAATCTTTGCTTTCTCTCTCTCTCTCTCTTTCTTCAACGTCTGAATATATATTTATCTCTTTCAAGTGTAAAAATTTTCAACGCAAACAAGCCAAAGAATAGACCTATAGAGAACTCAACTAAGGAGCTGACAGAAGTTTTACGAGACAAGTCAATGTAACAAAGATTTTGAAAAGGAAATCAAATTGAAATAACACAACCGCTGATGGAAGCGTGACGGCCGTTGACAAAGATGTCGACGATTTTACAGGTCTGTTGACTGGGACTATTTGGCCGAATAATTACATGCTGGCTTAGAAACACGAAATGTACTGACAGCGCCGTCCTGAATTCGGCACGGTTCGCTTTGTACCGCGATTAGAGTTTAAATCACCGTGAAACGCATTCTGTTGATCCCGACAGGTATATTTCGGGCGAAATCTCTTTGCTTTTCTCCGCTACTATGACGAATGGAAGATAGATCTGTATCTCTTCTAGTCAAGTAAATTTTTATAAGAGCAGACAAATATACCTAAAATAATTATTTCGCGCTGTTGTCCCGAAACTTGTAAATATATACTCAGGATGAAAATGTTAGGAAATATCAAGGAAGAAAAAGATTGCAGTGTTGTATAACGTTTTATTTACATATTTTATAATCCTATTTATACACACCTTTATGTTTTCAACATGTGTGCATCGATATTATTCTACCTTTCCCTAATCTTAATTAGATAGAATGTAACGAAGCTATATTATTTTTACACTTGTATTTACACGCGTTTGTATATTTTCTTACGTTTTCAATACATTTCTTTCATCGAAGCACTTCATTTGAAATATTTTAGACTGATTTTTTTAAATTAACTTTTTTGCACAACTCCAAAGCCTTAGAAAATATAATTTTATCTTGTTTTCGTATTCCTTGTTAATAAAACTTAAGTATATTACATATAATCATTCCATTCTCACTCTGGTATTTCATGTAAATCATGTTTGTTTTTTATAATCATCGTGTCCGAATTATGTAATCTTTGTCTTTTTTAACAACAAATTCGATTGGATGCACTAATATATAGATGGTAATTAGATAGATCGGATCTACGTGAAAAATAATCACATTAAAATTCTCCAATAAAATTGTTATAGAATTATTGCATTTGTCACATTTTATGCGACATATACAACATAATATAATAATAATAAATTATAAATTATTATATTGTGATGTACACAGCACACTATAATAATTCAATTATAAAATAAAATTTTGTATATTCTCTCTTATGTAGTAATAAACAAATAAAAAATAATTTTAAATTATATATACAGAGTTTCTCTTTCAGAGTTTCATCTAAATAAAATACGTTGTAGTATTGGGTATCAAAAAAAAAGTCTCAATGCGTCGCAATAAAAACATAACAAATAAGTGCTTTCCTCAAATTTCATATTGCTTCGTCGGGACGGGCCTGCCTGTTAGGCGTTAGGATGCCTTGTACACGTCGCAGATGATCCTTTCGATCGGGATCACGCCGATAGTCGTCCTGAAAAAGAGCTCCTCGATGGCGTGCGCGGACACGGAGCGCAGAGTGGGCAGTAGCAGTAGCAGCTTGTTGAGCCTGAAGGTAGTTCCGTACGAGGCCTCCCTGAGCCGTTGTCCTAGAGCCAATTGCGCGCTGTCCATCAGCCGGGCGACGCAGACCGCGTCTTTGAGCCGACTTCCGGGACTCGGTGAGTTACTGCTGGTGCTCCTACTGCTGGACACCGGTTCGCTGTCCAGACCGGCCTTGAAGAGCACTATCGCCCTGATGCAGGCGAACTCGTGCTGGTCCAGATTCATCGCGTGGAAGCCGGCCAGGGTCTCGCGGAAACGGTTCACCTCGATCGCGAGCCCGATACTCTGGATGTTCAGCGGTAGCAAGGGCGTGGGATCGAGGGTCGGTATCAGTTGCGCGGCGGCCAGCAGGAAGAGCTCGCGCCAGGAAGACTCGAGCAACATCAGCTGATCCTCCATCACGAGATTCGTTGTCGACACCAAATCTCGCGCCCAGTGCACGTTCAGAAAGAGCAACCTCGCGGCCTGCTCGCATATAGACTCGGGATTGATCGAAGGTATAAACGGCAACTGCAGATTCGGGATACTCGATGGCATCTGGAATAAACAATAGCCCCCCAACGATTCGCTGTTAAAAATAAGTTCTCCATTCTTTTTTCAATTTTAGAAAGAGAAACGTTTACAAAATGTTCAGATTTTATTAAGAAACTTGTCTGGACTTATAAAAATATCAATAAGATATATAGGGTACAGCAGGATAATTTAAATAGTGGGGTAATTTGGATAATAGTAAGCATTTACAAGAATTTCAGAAAAAAAAGAGATTCTAAGATACATTTCATTATATCAATGTCTGATATAAAAAAAGAAATTTTAAGATACATTTCATTACATCAATGTCTGATATAATAAAATACATCTTAAAATCTCTTATTTTTCTGAAATTCTTGTAAATGCTTACTATTATCCAAATTACCCCACTATTCAAATTACCCCGCTGTACCTATCCTATAGATTTTTTATAAAGAATATTTAAGAAAATGACACACTAGATGTGCATATACAGACGTACTTTTGATACTGTCAATGCGTTGCAATACGCCGGGTGCGGAAGAGAGGGATGGGGCGACGGTCCAGGTACGGAGACGCGTTGTTCCGACGGCGCTTTGGGCAAAACAAGATCTAAAGCCGTTGGCGGCGGCGCTACTATGCTATTCATAATTTCGGGCTCCTTAAAATATAAAGCCATTTGTCTACGAAGCGTCGAATTCCGTGGGCCTCGCTCGTGTTGCACTGCTATAAAGAGAGCGATTTGGTTTTTCGGTTAGTGAAGACTTGTTGACATTAACAAAGCCGGATAATAATCGAATGGTATGACTAAGGAGTTTTATTTCACAAAAGATTTACTAAAAAAAAAAAAAATATTTTAAGAAGTGATAAAAATGTAACGGCATTGCAGAACGCCTTAATTACCGTCTTTATTCATGCCGGCCTGAATGCATTTTGCCAATCGGCAGGCACGACATTGATTCCGATGCGTCTTGTCCACCATACAACCCCCCTCGGACTTTGCCTTGCACACGTATTGGCGATTCCTTCTAATTGATCGTTTGAAAAAACCGGCGCATCCGTCGCAAGCAAATATCCCGTAATGCTTTCCCGAAGAATGATCCCGGCATACCTTACAGGGTATATCGTAAAGAATGCGGCCTGAAACGGAAGAAAAACATTCCAGATGAAATGATAGCAATATAGCAAGAAATTTCATCTACGTGCCAAATTTTTTTTTTTTATCTAAAAGACATTTTATTGAAATCGTTTTATTGATTTTTCTCGTGGAAAGTAGAAAAATCTGAGAAATGTACAAAGTGGGGTGCGAGCAGCTTGCTTTTCTCCATATATTGTTGCATATTCCAACAGGTAGCGCAATGCCCTTAAAGAAATATTAGCGCAATTCGATCCTCCCGATTGACAACACAAGGTTTTCGCAAGGCAGAGACGACTTCAGTAGTCCGAGAAACGCGTTGACGCGAAGAGGCACTTCATCATTCCCTCGTCAATCAATCCGATACAGGCCTCGCGTCAACTTCGCCGCGCTCGACGGAAGGAGTCGTTTTGCCGGCCGGCGAGTAAGCACGGCATTGTCGTTGACAATCGGTGGAAAGGGCGCGTTAATCTCGAATGAAAATGCCGGTATTTTGGCTCGAAACCCGTTTACGAGCGACAACATGAGTCCGCTGAATGACGTTTCGGACGTGAATGGATCGATTTGTCGCCAATAGAGTTCCCGCAGGAGGGAATGCGGTACAATGTGTGCGCAGGCACACGCACACGCACAAACCCCCGGGCCCTATAAGGCGCGCGCGGATAGCGACGGGGACGACGCGGCGACGGCGGCGGCGGGGGTGCGCGCCACCGCGTCATCCGTAATGGGGCCACCAGCTCCTTGTCACGGGCTCCGCCTACGCCATTGAGAGCGACGAGATCGTGAATGGGGGCTGAATAGACCGGATGTGGCTGCTGCATTCAGTGATCCTAAGTGAGCAGCCAGAAACACGACACTTTGCTCGATATCGGGCCCCCCGATCTCTCCCGTCGGTTTCTTTATCTCTCGTCGTAGTTATTATAGAATATAGCCGCGGGGAGCCAGTGCGAGAACAACGCGGCCAGGGCCGCGTTTAATCCCTTAAATCGCGAGCGTCGCGTACGCGGTAAATACCGCGCAACAACCTGTTGATTGACGCGTGATCCTAACTAGCGACGATATAATGACGACTTTACATTACGGTTACCGTAACTAAATACCGCACTTCAGACTCTTCTAGACTCATCAAAAGTCTCGAGGGTCTCGTGGTTGTTCGTGAGAGTCATACGCTCCGGCTATCAAAAGCCTCAACTTCCATATTACACGTTTTTCCACCGCGCTTCTTACCTATGATTGCCGGTAATAGCGACAAATCGAGAAGTTTCTCGGTCGCCCCGCGCACGCGAGCCGCTCTTCTTCTTTAATAATATTCGCGGTTAAAAGACGCTCCCCCTTCTTGGCGGCACCGAGAGAAAAGAGTGGTTCCTCCGCGGTGTTCCTGGGGGTAAATCATTAACGAGGAGTTACGGGAAATGCGCAAAATGCGGCGCACATGTTCAAGCGGAAAGCAGACGGGTTGCGGGTCGAATGACAGGGTAATGCGCCCCTCGCCGCGAGGAATGTCCACCTTTTCTCTCCCTTCCCGAGAGAGGGAAACTCGCGCGCGCGCGCGTCGGAATCACGCAAAGCGTTTCTCTGCACTCGCGCCGTCACGTGGTCGCGCATGAAATTTGCATTCGGCCGGCTCGCGAGTCACTCGCGATTGAATTTTTCATCGTCGTGTGGAATCGAGCCGCGGGCTCGGTTATTCCGCTCGGGCGGCGATCATCTTCCTTCTGTCACGCGTCGCGCATCAAATATTCACGGGATTTTTATAGTAACGATCGCGAACGCGGACTCTTCCTCCGTGTCCTCCTCCTTTGCCGAAGCGGGCAAAGAGGGAAGAGAGAAGGAGGAGGAGGAAAAGAAGCTTATAGGGGAGGAGAGAGAAAGCCCCCCCTTTACGGGGTTGCTGTAAAAATCGGGTGAATATTTGATGAGGCGCGTGAATGCGCGCAAGCGCGCGTTTTCAATCGCCCGTTTATGCGAAAAATACTGTCATTAGCCCGGCCCGGAGGTGTGGCACGCGGAAAGAGGGGAATGTAAAATCGTACGTTTGCCGTACGGCACGAAGGCGGTAAGTATCGCTCTAAAGCGCGAGCACGTGTTTCACCCGCATCAATTATTTCATTTGAACCCATGGGCCACCGACGAAAACGGAACCCGAAAAATACGCGTTTACGTCAGAATTGGAAACTTCAGTGGGAATACCCCGTATACACGTGGAACATCCGACATTTGAAATTCGGCGGGGCGGAGGGGGATAGAAGACCAAGTTCCGCGAATATGGCCGGATATGTGATTCACCGGCTAGCGACTAGCCGGTGGCTTTATTTCGGCCGACGTTTTTTCTCTTTCTCTCCCCGAAAGAGCCGAAAGTTGCGAACCGCGTGTTCGTGACTACGAAATTAAGGGAAAAGTTTGTCGCGCGCATCCCCGCGGCTGGTGCGCGTTCGCATGCAAAGGGTGAACGAAAACAAGAGAAAGCGAAAGAGGGAGAGGACGGTCACCGGCCGGCCGACGAGGACCGGCGAAATGGCGACGTAAAGTGTGTCCTCCAGCCGAACTTTCATAGAAAATTACGAACTTCTTCATATAATTGCATGGGGACTGATAGACCGAGTCTTTCAGTCCGCAAAACGTATATGACTCGTTTTAGGCTCGTCGTTACCTCGTCGTTCGTACGGCACGAGTTTCATCGGCAAAAAATAACCGTTCTGTCGTCAAACTTTTTTTTTCTATTGGTTTCCACGAATTTTACTTTCTGACGCATTTGCATGTGTGTCGGTGGGAAAATCGAAAGTCATTACTAATGTTACGATTAAATATCTATTAAATTTTGACGCGTTAAAATGGCGAACAAAACATTAAGATGAATAACAGGAAGATTTTTTTTTAATAATTTTGAGAGAAATATAGGAAATTTTATCTATCAATCAATTTATCATAATATGTTCATATGACTTACAATAACATTAAATTGTTTATTTCTGTGCATTGAGAGATAAAAAGAGAAGGCGCTTGAAACATATATATTATTCACTTATCACAATCGAATTAAAGAAAAATCATCGTAAATAATAGAAAAAGATACACATAAAAAAAAGCGTAACTAAAGTGTAACTTTTCGTACATAATGTTAAATGACTTGTTTCCCGTAATTCTATCATTTCACGCACCATCAGGTGGCGCGCCGTAAATGAACATGGGAATGTAGTGACATGTGTTTAAGAGCCAGCCGTTTGCTATCAGTATACGTATTCATATATAATTGATCGAGTAAAATCTAACCGTCATCTGCTCGCCTCACCAATGCACCCCTTTTGCAAAGATAGTTTTATCTTCACAACTTCGAGAGACGGGATCGAGTTTTTCTACACACTTCATAATTCTAAGAATCCAATTAATCTTATGTCTTAAGTTCTAAATTTGTTTCATTAATTTGTCATCGTTATCATTACATATGTCTTACAACGACATATTACAAATTGTTATATTATTATTTATTTGCGTGTATTAAAAAAGAGTTGAAAAGAGAAGTTGCCAAATGATTATTTATTTACTATAATCAAATTATAGAAAAATTATTGTAAATACTAGAAACAAATAGGACATATACATAATTTTAAATGGGTTTGCATAACCACGCTCTAATTAGCCCGATGTGCTACACTGATTGGAAGCCAACTGACGCTGTGTTCAACCACCCGCGTCAACCTGCTATAGCCGACCACCACGGTGATTCGTTCTCGGCGCATCGGTTTTGAACCATCTGTCGTTACTTTCTCATGGATGAGCTACGCTCGGGGATGAATCGTTTTAAATGCACAGTATTCGCTACGTTTAAAGGCCACATGTTTGTTGTTTCACACGAGATGAAATTAGCATGCCGCGGCAGGGGCCATGAGAATCGTTAATTGTAATTGGCACGCCATCGATCGATCACTTCGACAGATCGCGACAGGTATGTCACGGAAATGCAGGCGCCGTAAACTTTTATTGCGTGCGTTTATACGACACACGGTCGGGGTGTAATTTTACTTTTTTTTTTGTAAAATGAAGGTGTGAGTTATTGACCACTCGGAGTTTTGTCTCTACATTGACGGCAATAAATGTGCGAAGCTCTCGAAGCACGACTGAACGAGCAATTCGGACTTCAGGTAGAAATTGTATAAAGTCACTGATAGATCCTAGAAAAGGAAAAGGGTTAAATATGTAGGAAATGTCTTACTTACAAAATAGAAAAGGGCAACAGAATTGTAAAGAAACTCGTGAAAAAAGTTAATATACATATAAAAAAAATTTTCCATGTTTTTAGAAAATTCATAAAAAATGAAGAGATAATATCTATTACATTGATTTTATCAGATACAGAAATAATTTCAAATTTTCTATCTGTTAATTGTTGCAACTCTTGTAAACTATATCTCATCGAAATTTTTGCACTTGGAAGTCTAATTTAAATATTATACAATAAATATTTAATAATAAATAATATATTTATATATATATTTTATTATATATATTACATGTTGAAGCAAGACGATAAAATAATTCTTTTGTCAAGATTCTGTAATGCATAAATATATAAGCTTATGAGTAATTAATGAGTAATTAATAATTACACTAAAATCGTATTCGAAGGTTAGCAAAAATTATATAGCGTCTTAACGCAAAATATAAGTTAAGAGAAAACAAAGACAAGGTATTATTAAGTTAAATAATATTTATTACAGTGTTCTACGCATAGTGTTACACGCGCGCGCGATTTCGTTTATTCCTTTAAATCCGAAATTCGAGTGCCCACTTTGTCGATTTTGAATGATTTCAAAATTCAAATTCTCTTCATTCGCATTTTAGTATAGCATTGAACTAAGTAAACATAACCCACATTCTTTACAAATGATTTTAAGACTCAGACACAATGAAAAAAATAAGGGACAGGAAATTGAATACAAGCAATTAGTCAAAAGTCAGAGACATGTGATTTTTTTAATCCGATTTTTCATTATCTGATTTTCCTAATTCTTTAAGCTTAGTTCCCTTTTCCTTTATTGTGTCTAAACCTTTACAGTTAAAAGATATCATAAATAATATAATAGAAAAAGAAAAATTTCTTTTAGTGCAAGAAAACAGGAAGTTGTTCATACATTATTTATCAATTTTTTTCGAATACAGGTTATATTCAGAGAGAATATTTTTTTAATAGAAAGCTCGAAATTGAAAGAAAGATTTTATGTAAAGTTTCACTAATATTGTATGTATTATATACTCGGAAAATTTAACATTAGTGAAAAAAAAAACGTCAAGTTTAATGTTCCATTTATCATCTTTTCAACAATTGTTTAAAGAGATTAGACTATTGAGAGATTATTGTAAAATACATTTAAATCTTAATTAAAAATAATTATGGAAGCTGTTACATGTATATAAATTCTATTTAAAAGATCTATTTCAGTAAATTTAATTAATTTTATTATTATTAAATAAATTTTATTATCTAAATATTAAAAACGAAAGAAAATAGAAGTCAATAAAATAAACAAACAAAAGATGTCAGAATATAACCATTTAAATTAACAATATTAAAGTAAGACATTTCGACTTGATTAAATCTGTTTCAGTTTTGCAAATACAAATTTCAATACATTTAATTATTAGTAATTTATTAATTAAATCGGAACACAGCAAATTTTTAACATTAAAATAAGACTATGTTCTCTGTGTGAATGGATCAAGAAAATCCATGTTGATAAATCGGTGGATTAAAAATCATAGCATGTATCAATTCTTCTGTAGCGTACGTTTCGTAATTCTGATTGTGAGTCTAATTATTCCTCGTTTGTCCGTACGAGAATGTATAGAGTTTAATATTTAAAATAAAAGTTATTTTCTTTAGTCATCGTCAATAACTTTTTGAAAAAACCTTTACATTAATTCAATATTTGTAATAATTATAGATCAGAAACAACTGGATAATGTAGATTGCAATACAAAAAGATCTTTTTTAATTTTTAGTCAATGTTTTTATAATAAAGGAGGAGGGCCCATAAGGGCCGATTTCGGCATTTTTCAAATTTTGTCCAAACTTTCAAAAATCTATATCTTGAGGTCAATTACATTTAATTCGAGCGATTCCAGCTTAAACGGAGCGATGGAGTTGCCATATTTATTCGGAAATCAATATTTTGATTGTCGTATTGGAAAATAATTTGAATTATTCTGGAATTATTTGAATTATTCTTTATTGAGATTACAGTTCTCAAATCTCGAATTATCAAATCTCTTCTCTTTTGTAAATTTTTCGAGCAGTGTATTTATTTTTATCTCATTATTATAGTGAGATAGCAATCGGTTAGCGTACGACCTACTCAATGAAAACAAAGCGCGTAGCGTTAGCCTCATGATTCAATGTCCGCGGGCCATAATAATGAGATATAAATAAATACACTGCTCGAAAAATCCACAAAAAAGAAGAGATTCGATAATTCGAGATTTAAGAACTGTAATCTGAATAAAGAATAATTACAAATTATTTTCCAATACGACAATCAAAACATTGATTTCCGAATAAATATGGCAACTCCATCGCTCCGTTTAAGCTGGAATCTCGAATTGAATGTAATTGACCTCAAAATATAAATTTTCGTGAGTTTCGACAAAATTTGAAGAGAAACCGAAATAGGTCCTTATGGACCCTCCTCCTTTATTAAATATTATTTATTTCATATAAAATGTAAAATAAATTCTCTTTGTTCAGTGCAATCATAAAATAATTGAAAGTTTATAAGTAAAAAGATAACAAGAAGGAAAAGTAGAACAAAATAAAAAGAAAGTTACAAAAAGCAAAAATATTAAATATTAAATACCTGAACGAATAGTTTAGCATACGGCACACTAAGCGGCACATACATATTTTAAAGCTTCAAAATAAAATATCTAAATATATATTTAAGTATTCGATGACGTTGGAAACAAACATAAAAATCGTGGGCTATTTACTTGAAGAAGTCGGCATCTTTGGCGGTGGAACTGACATATGTGGCATCTGTGACTCCTGATTCTGCATCCTTCGTAATCGTCACTACACAATGGTCATTGGAGAGGCTCGAGCGAGAGACAGAGCTCTGAACCAATCGCACCGTGCACACAATGGAATTTTTTCTCAAAGCCGGACTTTTCGGGCGGCTAGTCTTCCGTGTTTTTACGACATCACTTTCTGGCTGCGGCGGCGCGCTGAGGACTAACACCGGGGTGAAATGTGACTGAGAGTCACCTTAGTCGAGACTTTTTGATGCCCAGCACGATAGTGAACAACTTTGATGATGCTATGTGGAAAACGTGCCCCATTGGCCGAGGGCGTCCCTACCCTCGGCGAAGGGCGGATCTGACGAAAGGAGTGGCTCGTTTCTGATATCTGGGGGGTTGAACGTCGCCCCTGCGAGACGACAGGGGGTTGCGTCATCATCCCCGCCACCGCGAGCAACCACTTCGCGAGAATCACCTTCGAAACGAAGGTGAGAAGGAAGGTATAGCTTCCTTATACCCCATGCGGCGTCGCGCATAGCAATCTTAACGCATTTTATGTTTGCATTCTCTACGAGCAAATGATGAATAGACAATAATTATCAATGTTGCTAGCAATTATTTAACAAGTTAATATTAATACTATATGTCGCTATGTTCCGATAAATTTAAGATGTCTATAACATTTTTCTAATTCAATATTTACGTTTTTTTTTTTACGTTGCAAGAAAAATGGCTTACAACTTTATGAGTTGTGAAATAGATGATTTGATACAGAATGATTAATTCGCAATATTTTTTTACAATTTATTAATATAAAGCAGAAAACTTATACGCTAATACCTAGATATTAAAATCGATCGAGAAGATTTCTATGAAATTCCCACCTGGCTAAAATAAAAATCGGAGCATAAAGCAAATGCAAGACAGAAACACGAAGTTCCTCCAGAAAGTGCAAATTAAAATAGCGAAACGTAAAAGAAGCGTTTTGAGAGATAAATACCTCTTTTACATTTCGTTATTCCATTTTACCCTTCCTAGAAGCTTCGTTTACGGTTCACTCTCTCGTGTTGCATCTTACGCTCAAATTTTTACTTTTTCAAAGTTTGGTCTAATATTTACGTTTTCCGTTGCAAGAAAAATTGTTCACAATTTTGTAATATAGATGATACAAAGTATTACAGAGTGACTAACCAATAATAACAATTCGGAATATTTCCAGCGCTATATTAATATGTAGAAAGCAGCAAGACCTGTATTTCGGATATTAAAATAAGCAGCTGTATTTGCGGTATCATCCAGCGATCCTGCATTAAAAATTCCCACATATAGCCGCTGGTCCGGCTAATCGCCCGTAATTCTGCGGCGCCGTAATTCTGGACCGCGCTCTGTTTAGGACCGGAATTAAATCCCTCGCTCGCTCTCGCGGCCGTTGAAATTCGTTGATGCGTGCGCCCCGAGGAGAGGCTCAGGTAGAGGGTAGACTTTTGTTGGAGGTTTCGCCATTCAAAATGCCGCGGAGATACACCGTGGAGGAGGTTAAACGGCGGAGTGCATGTACTTGGAATAATAGCGACGCGGGCAGATGCGCCGCGCCTGACTCCCTGACTCCATCTTGAATTATCTCGTGCCCGATCCCTACCTATACCCGGGGCCACCCCTCATGAATGCGTACTGCAGCGTCCGTGTGTATGTATATCGCACGCGAAACAGGGTTGGGGTGCGAGGCTGTTCTTACACTCGGTGAATTACGCCAGGAATCCGTCATAACCGATGTAATATCGGCGGAGATTAGATCTCTCGATGGCATATCACGCTCCCCCTCGAGAGAGAGAGACCTACTCGAGTCGATGTTATCTTCGCAGATTGCACCAGGTGTATTTTTATGATGCTTCGCGTGCAGCAACGCGGAGGCACTCGCGGGGGTGCTCTGGTGATCATAATTAATCGCGCGCGTTATTAACCCCTTCGGATCCGAATCTTTAAATATTGAAGAAATTATTTGAATTCTTTCGATATTATTCTCTGTATGGCTATATATAACATAGGTACTTGAACTAAAAAACACGGAAGGTTTTATTGGAGAGTTATTTCGACTGATACTTTTTTGAAAGAAAAACCGTCCCCAACTATATCTGCACTATTAATGTATCTTTCCCGATGATTACAGGATAAAAAAATTGTAAATAATCCGAAGCGAGAGAGCTATAGCGGCACATTCGTCCACAAATCTTTCGTCGTAGATACGAATATTGTGTATGTTACAACGCATTTCCGTAATCTTTTCTTAAACATTGACACTTCAGGGATTCTGAGAGAAAAATATTTCTGCGCGGATAGAAACATATTCTTGGTTTGTATGTTTGCACCCTCGACTTGGCCGCCATTGAGAGACCGCCGAATGCTCGCCCGACCGTGCACCGTTTTAGCTTTGGAGCAATATGGGATAGAAGATTATCTACGTAACTGCCTCGGGAAATACGAGGCCTAACAATATAATAGCAACGTTGCTTGTTCATTCCTCCGAAGGAGGAAAAGTTTCGCGGGACATGAGTAAGAGATTCGAGTTGCTTTGGCAAGAAGGCAAACGTGCCTAATGGGGCCAAAATTGGAATATATTTGTATGCTGAAGCTCGTAAAAGAGACGGATTGAGATAAGCAATAACAATAGTATGTTGAGATAAACGATGTTATTTTAAGAAAATACCTTTTCGCCTTACAGGTATCTTACGCAAAGGACATGAGAGACATTTTATGTTAATTTTAGACTTCGTTGTGTTATCTAGATATAAATTTGACTAACAAAAAATTAATGGATAGTAAATTTATGACGTCGATCAGGGACATTTATTGAGTCGCACAAATAAATACAAAGAAGAATAACGGGATATAAATAGAAATTTGCTTTGAAAATCTATCTTGGCTTCTGCACAGAGGACGCGGCAACGTTTGACAAAACGCGCGACAAGATGTAATGCGATAACCAATTATATTTTCTATGCAAAAACGATCGATCACCGCGTCGCGTCTTACCGCACGTCAAATGTTACCGCGTCCTGTGCAGGAGTCATAAAATAACGAATACAAGCTTGTTGCGTATCGTATCTTTTTTCGTATCAATTCAATGACACTACATGATGCGCCTTTGCATATCATTTTAAAGATCATATTAAAAATTTCAATATCATGTTTGGTCTTTTTAAAGATTTGGAAGATTACTGATTACAAAAATGAGGTCGAAATATAAAAATTTAAAGTGGCATATCTAATATGATGAATCCAAGAAATAAAATATTATTATTAAATTATAATGAAATGATTTATAATGGGGAGAGAGAAAGGAGAGAGAGAGAGAGAGAGAGAGAGAGAGAGAGAGAGAGAGAGAGAGAGAGAGAGAGAGAGAGAGAGGAGAAGCGAGAAGAAGGAGAGAGAGAGAATTTTCCATGTTTTACACTGTCCAACAGCATTTTGCAATACAAGTATGAATAGTTATTTCAGACATATTTTTACAAAATGATCAAAGAGTCAACAATTTTAAGTAAAAAAAGAAGTCAAATGTTACCGGCCAGTGTGTTAGTCCGAGAAAACTTTTTTTACGTAAATAATTTTTTTAAATCTTATGATTATATTTATATTACAACATTTTTCAATTAAAAGTTTAGATAATTTTCTTTAAAATAAACCTTGATTGTACACAGATTAACTTTCTTTACAGTACAATAAAAGTTTCTTGCATCGCGTTGGGGGGAAGAATCTTATTAAATGCTTGTACGTATCAGTATTATTAAATTGATAATCAATTTTAATATTGTGATATTATTAATATATATATATATAGAATATATATGAAATTATATATAGAATATTGTGATATTCTAGTTCAATTAAGAACTGCGTCAAAACCGAAAGTAACGGCGCGCAGTTTGTATAGAATTTAAAAAAAATGTATATAAAATCATACGAAATTATAGCATCAAGCACCAAGATCCTGCTATGACCGTCATTAGCTTATTTCACGAATTTTAATTGTGTAGATTAATATGTACTAAAAATATGATTTTTATAGATACGGTACATATATGTATCACTAGAGACCAAAGGGTTAAATCGTGTTAAAAAATATGTGAAAGTAAAATTGAAGCTAGGTCACAGGTAAAGAAAAGAAATAAATAAACTATAACCTTCATAATGATCCTAATGTTATCTTTCGTTATCTGACTATGCAGTTCAACTAGTCAGAAAATAATCAGACATAGCTATGCACAGTTAGTTCGCATTTTTTTTTCACGACTTTCTTTTTCATTATATTTCAACCTCAGGTAATATACATACTTAAACTAAACTCTGCTTTTTTTCAATATCCTTTCTTGCAGTACCTGTGCGATGTTATGACATCTATAGAAAAGTTTTTATCTATAAAAAAGTTTTCACCGCTGCGGAAAAGAATCAATAAACTTTTCGTTCTTAAGCCGATGAAACGGAAAATTTATTACTGAATCTTATTCCAGTATTATTATAATTATTTTGACCGACTTTTTGTAACTTACTTTCGCAGAGTATGCTTTGACGTTAGCAAGAATCGGAAATAATTAAATTAAAATTTATTTGATTTGTGACGCCCTAAATAAGACATTAGAGTTTTAGTCATTATTTTTAAGCAGAAGAATTCGATTCTTGCGTAAAATGGTTTGTTAAAAAAACTTTAGAGGAAAGTTTTATAAACAAAATTATCCTATTTTTATAGCATTTATTCATTTATTTATTTTTGGGCTTTTATTATTTCTACGCTAAAGGTAAAGGCATTTTATAAAAGTGAAAGGATAATCTTCACAAATTAGGAGATTATCAAAACTCACATAGACCAGCATTAGTACTAAGACGAAGAGTAACATGACAGGAAAAGGCTAGTTAGGTACCGGTTAGTACTAGATTTTTGAGTCTTTTGGAATTACAACGTCCACAATACAATTCTTTGTCAGGATTATTATAATCTCGCATTCATGTTTTCTATTTTTGTACATTCACATTCATTCAAATAAGATATTTACTTTTAAAAGTTGCTTATATTATTATCAAACGAATTCTTTTTATGCCAAATATGATAAAATAACAGAAAAATTTCTTTATATTTCTTAGTATTCTATATTTAATTAACTGATAAAATAACTAAAAGAATTAAGACATATATGTATGTAGGAGCAAATGTGCTAT